GGGGGAGCACTATACCCATAGAATTATACAGTGTCTGTGGGGGGGGAGATGTGGAAGGTATTCAGGCTTAATTTAGGGAACTGGAGCACAGATCCAATTCCAGAGATCAAGAGCCCCTCACCAGCATCAAGGAACCTCCCATGAGGGCCGGCTCTCATAAAAAAATCATTTAGATCTTCGACTCTCAGTCTGGTTAGCGGCTCGCTAACCAGGGACTTGGGTAGTCAATCATTTCCTGGCTGTCATCTGTGCTAAGACCCATCTGTTAAAGTAGGGCCCATGTGGATGTTGGACTCAATTGTATTGGGCAAAGAAATAAATACATTGGTTTTTTCGATTTCATATAAGGCTTTAGTCTTCCCGCGATTTCAGACCCTATAAGATTCCTTGCTTTAGTTCGATGGTTGCTATTCGTTAGACCATCTCCCAAGCACTTCAATATATGGCCTCATTAAGGGCTCTGTATATCTTTTCCTTGCTGTATCAGGGGACCTGTCTCTTTATTGTACTGATGTACCCTCCTTTTTGCTAAAAGGAATATTGGCTTGATGCATTACATTTCGAGTGCCACGGATCTATATGTGTTCTAGGCTTTAGTTGTGTTTGCTATTGTTGACTGTCCTATCATTTCATATATTGGCTCTTTACCGTCTGTTATATTTCTGCGTTGGGAAGTCTCTCATACATTCCTCCTTTTTCTTAGGAATATGCTTGCATATGAGTGCCGAGTTAATGTGTTCTAGCATAAGTTTGGGTCTGTGTTAGTACTTCCAGTATAGTTTAGACTTAGTTTACTTGGTCCCACTTTATGTTCTTGTTATTGAAGTTGAATTTGGTGAAGGCTCCCTCATGACTAATCTCATTATGTCGGTCTGGGGCTCCGCGAATACTACTTGTCTGAACCCCGATTATGTTGAGATCCGAGTATATTGTTTTTGATATGGTGACATTTCGTATCAGATCATCATTGTTAGTGAAGATGAGGTCCAGTGTATTCTCAAGTCTAGTAGGCTCTATTATTTGCTGGTTTAATTGAATTTTGTGCAGAGATTTAAAAGCTCGTGTGAGTTCTCGTCTGAGCTGCCTCCTGGTGTTATCACTGCAACGACATTTGCTATATTCCTCCATTTTAGGTGCCTTAGGTTGAAATCCCCCAGGAGCAAGATGTTGGGGGCAGGAACTGGAAGATTTTCCAGACAGTGGTCAATTTTCAACAGCTGTTCCTGGAATTGTTGAGACGTTGCATCCGGAGGCTTGTAGACTACCACAATGACTAGATTTTGGTTCTCGATCTTTACTGCTAAAATTTCCACTACATCATTTGAAGCATTAAGCAGTTCTGTGCAAATAAGTGACCGTGTGATATACAGGCCAACTCCCTCCCTTTTGCCTGTTCACTCTGTTGCATTTGTATAGGTTGTAACCTGGGATCCACATTTTGTTGTCCAAGTGATCCTTTATGTGGGTCTCTGTGAAAGCCACGAACATTGCATTTGCCTCTGCAAGCAGTCCACGGATGAAAGGAATTTTGTTGTTCGTTGCTGGCTTTAAACCCTGTATATTCGCAAAAAAGAATGTCATCGGATTGGTGTGGAGTTACTAAAAGTATTCACAGGGCTGAGGATGGGTTGTTGACATGGTTTGGTCATTTAACTCTTTCAGGGTCAGTGCCGTACTTGTATGGCTTGAGATCCAGGGTTGGTGCCGTACTTGTACATGTAAATTCTAGTGCCTTCAAATCGAGAGGAAGAGAGCTGGTAGGCCTACATATGAAAGAATGGGTGTGGTCAGTGTGCACAGTGTAAAAAAATACTGCAGCACTCCGACCATGCTTTTGGTTTAAAACAACGAATTTGCAGTGTATTTTCATATGGTATTTATGGTTGTATTCTCGTTTTCTTTGTCTCAAGTGATAGAATCGAAGATACATTACAGAAATAGAGACGATTTTGATAGGTTTTACGATGAAAAGTACCTTGAAATCAAGCTCAAAATAGCGGAAATGTGCAATTTTTGCCATTATTCAAGAGTAAACAAATCATGCCATGCATCCAATACACAACTGGAGTAATATTCTTTCACAAGTGCACTGATATTATTTATACCATTTTTACAATAATGCAGTAGTCTGCATAACAGTAAAACTATTTTTGTGAGAATAAAAATTCAAAATGGAAAAGAGTAATGTAAGAGGGCCCTGGAGATGTTACTAATGAACAGAGAAAATGTTATTTTAGTGCCAGTAATGTTTGTCTTGCTTATTCTGGACCCTATTTTGAAATCGGCATCTTTTGAAATTTGCATGAAATTGGCCAAATTGCCAATTTTTGACCACTTAATTGGGTAGTTGAAATTGGTAAATGAGCGGTTTCTTCTACTAATTCGTTAGAACAAATCGAGTTCTATCGAAATAGCTATGATTTTAGTTGACTGGAACATTGGAATTGGCCAAAAATAGGGCTCAAAGTGGGCGAAATCGCCAGTGTGTAAATATTGTTGAGACCCTTAACTTTGCGACAGCATAATTCTGTAAGTTTTCCACCAAATTTCATACTTTTGGTGTCATTACCACTGGGAAAAGATTCTTTTATTTCCCCAAGAAAAAAATAATTTTTTTTTTTAAATTTTTCAACCCTGAGAGCGAGTTCAGGATCGGGAGTCTCGACCCTGAAAGGGAGGGAGGGAGCAAAATAGGATGACTTGTACGGTGTATAAATCTATAGTGGAGGGGAGGAGGGGTAGGGGTTGTCCTAGGAAATGATGGAAGGAGAGGGTGAAAGAGGTTTTGAGTACAAGGGGCTTCAACATAAAGCAGGCATGTGTGTGTGTTTTAGGTGTGTATGCAGATGAATGGTTTTTGGAACTTGACGAGCTGTTGGAGTGTGAGCAGCGTAATATTTTGTGAAGGGATTCGGAAAAATCGGTTAGCCGGACTCAAGTCCTGGATGTAGGAAGTAAATGCCTGCACTTTAAAAAAAGAGTTTGCGACATTTCCTGTTTGAAGTGACATCCAAAATGTCGTATCTGTGCGCCTCTGCAAAGACAGTGATTTTGTGTGAATAATGGTGAAAGTGTTTTACTTTTTTGGGTCACCCTGCCTTGAGGTGGCTGATTTTTTTTTTTTTTTTTTTTTTTTTATCAAACTGGCCGATTCCCACCAAGGCAGGGTGGCCCGAAAAAGAAAATCTTTCACCATCATTCACTCCATCACTGTCTTGCCAGAAGGGTGCTTTACACTACAGTTTTTAAACTGCAACATTAACACCCCTCCTTCAGAGTACAGGCACTGTACTTTCCATCTCCAGGACTCAAGTCCGGCCTGCCGGTTTCCCTGAACCCCTTCATAAATGTTACTTTGCTCACACTCCAACAGCACGTCAAGTATTAAAAAACCATTTGTCTCCATTCACTATCAAACACGCTCACGCATGCCTGCTGGAAGTCCAAGCCCCTCACACACAAAACCTCCTTTACCCCCTCCCTCCAACCTTTCCTAGGCCGACCCCTACCCCGCCTTCCTTCCACTACAGACTGATACACTCTTGAAGTCACTGTTTCGCTCCATTCTCTCTACATGTCCGAACCACCTCAACAACCCTTCCTCAGCCCTCTGGACAACAGTTTTGGTAATCCCGCACCTCCTCCTAACTTCCAAACTACGAATTCTCTGCATTATATTCACACCACACATTGCCCTCAGACATGACATCTCCACTGCCTCCAGCCTTCTCCTCGCTGCAACATTCATCACCCATGCTTCACGCCCATATAAGAGCGTTGGTAAAACTATACTCTCATACATTCCCCTCTTTGCCTCCAAGGACAAAGTTCTTTGTCTCCACAGACTCCTAAGTGCACCACTCACCCTTTTCCCCTCATCAATTCTATGATTCACCTCATCTTTCATAGACCCATCCGCTGACACGTCAACTCCCAAATATCTGAATACATTCACCTCCTCCATACTCTCTCCCTCCAATCTGATATCCAATCTTTCATCACCTAATCTTTTATCCTCATAACCTTACTCTTTCCTGTATTCACTTTTAATTTTCTTCTTTTGCACACCCTACCAAATTCATCCACCAATCTCTGCAACTTCTCTTCAGAATCTCCCAAGAGCACAGTGTCATCAGCAAAGAGCAACTGTGGCAACTCCCACTTTGTTCGATTCTTTATCTTTTAACTCCACGCCTCTTGCCAAGACCCTCGCATTTACTTCTCTTACAACCCCATCTATAAATATATTAAACAACCATGGTGACATCACACATCCTTGTCTAAGGCCTACTTTTACTGGGAAATAATTTCCCTCTTTCCTACATACTCTAACTTGAGCCACACTATCCTCGTAAAAACTCTTCACTGCTTTCAGTAACCTACCTCCTACACCATACACCTGCAACATCTGCCACATTGCCCCCCTATCCACCCTGTCATACGCCTTTTCCAAATCCATAAATGCCACAAAGACCTCTTTAGCCTTATCTAAATACTGCTCACTTATATGTTTCGCTGTAAACACCTGGTCCAAACACCCCCTACCTTTCCTAAAGCCTCCTTGTTCATCTGCTATCCTATTCTTCGTCTTACTCTTTAATTCTTTCAATAATAACTCTACCATACACTTTACCAGGTATACTCAACAGACTTATCCCCCTATAATTTTTGCACTCTCTTTTGTCCCCTTTGCCTTTATACAAAGGGAAAGGGGACAAAAGAGAGTGCAAAAATTATAGGGGGATAAGTCTGTTGAGTATACCTGGTAAAGTGTATGGTAGAGTTATTATTGAAAGAATTAAGAGTAAGACGGCTGATGTGTTGGGGAATATAAATATTTTTGAGTTTTTCTTTTTTGGTCACCCTACCCCAGTGGGTAACAACCGGTGCGTTAAAAACAAAAACAAAAATATATATGTACAACCTGTACACATGTTATTAAGGAACTGCCGATTTTAATTTGCATTACTCGTATAAAGCTTATAATAAAAGAATATAAATGCTGGTTTGGTTATGAATTTTATTCAAAACATTTCTATGGAAACAATTTACTGGTCTTAATTTACCTTACATGATATTCTACATAGGACATCTACTTGCCAACACTCCTATAGCAATTCATAAACTAAAAACTATCTTACTCTTTCTCCATATGTGCTAGTCCACAAGCAAGCAAGAAACCTGAGTGCCCCCAAAGTTATCTTCAGTCACTGTGACTAATTGGATAAACAAAAAAAAATACTGTTAAGTTCCAACAGTCACCAAACCTCAAGATAACTTTGGGGGCACTCATGTATAGTGGGAATGTGTCTAAGGTAATTAATATGTACAAAGGACCAATGCAAATTTGAGAACACACAAGCATGTTTTTGTGAGCAAATGAGCAGGTACACTACTACTATCTGACATGTGCTTTCATGCCAAGTAATGAAAAGGACCAACAAGCCCTCTTCACTATCATCTCCCAACACAGACAAGCCCAGCTGCTGTCTTTTCTGTTCATGTTTTATGTTATGATAATTGCTGTGCCTGCAACTGCTATCTGAAGTATTTAACTGGACATCCTCCAAAGTAGCATCAGAAGGTTTACTTAGAACTAGCGTCACGGTTGACCTTCCGTTGCCTTGGTGACTGACGTGGTGTCTTTTCTGTAAAGCAACAGAATAAACTTAGGTAAGAAAAATCTAAGAATTTGTATACCATATACAGCATGTATAAACATTTACCTAATGGTAGTAAAGTTCCAACAAACATGCTAATATCAAGCTACTCCCAAAATACAGCCTCTCCTCACTTAACAATGGAGTCCCATTTCTGAGACCATGTTGGTAAACGAATTCGTCGTTAAGCAAGGAGCATACTATAATGGTAGCGGGTTTGTGTCAACCATCTCTGATATTGTTTTAATGTCACCTTTGCACCATTTATAACACTTCTGGTATATATTTAAACGTTCATACAGTAGTGTACTGCATTAACGTTTCAGATTCAGGAAGGATATAGGAAAGCACTGGTTTGGTAAGAGAGTTGTGGACGAGTGGAACAAACTCCCAAGTACAGTGAACCCCCGCTCTACGATCAGCTCCCAATGCGACCAATTATGTAAGTGTATTTATGCAAGTGCGTTTGTACGTGTATGTTTGGGGGTCTGAAATGGACTAATCTAATTCACAATATTCCTTATGGGAACAAATTCGTTCAGTAATGGCACCTGAACATACTTCTGGAATGAAATAATATCGTAAGCCGGGGATCCACTGTAATATCATAGACGCTAAGTACTTTTGAAAATAGGTTGGATAAATACACAAGTGGGTGTGGGTGGGTATGAGTTGGACCTGACTAGCTTGTGCTACTAGGTTGGATGCAGTGCTCCTCCCTTAAGTGACATGTCTGACCTCACTAGGTCAAGGCATTGGCTTAAGCCGGTGAGAGAATTGGACCAGTCTTGCATAGGCCAGTAGGTCTGTTGCAGTGTTCCTTCTTTCTTATGTTCTTATATCGCAGTAAACAGAATAGAGGAAATCAGCTCTAATATACATTATTTAGGTATGCATACTGGTCAGAAAGCCCATTGTAAGTCCGAGTCGCTGGTAAACAAGCACGTCGCTAAGTGAGGAGAGGTTGTATACAGTACACTACTGTATAAACATTTAAAAATATACTAAAAATGTTATAAATGGTGCAAAGGTGACATTAAGACAACATCAAAGATGGTCAACACAAAGCCACTACTATTATAGTACACTGTATGCTCCTTGCTTAGTGACAAATTCGTTTACCAACACTGTCTTAGGAACGGAGCTCCGTCGTTAAGTGAGGAGAGGCTGTATTAATTAAATAATGGTTCTCAATTTCACTACACCATGATTCCCTATACAAGGGTGCATAAATGGTTTCAACCATAAAACCCTTTCAGGGGCATTTTGCTGGTGAAGCTCTCTTTATCCAAGAAATTGGAGTTATACACTGAGAGCAGTTATCCTACCTAGGCTCATTTCAGAGCCCAGTCCTACCTAAGGTATACTGCCACCCCCTGGGATGCAACCCACAACGATCTACTTAACACTCGGGTACCTACTTACTAATAGGTGAACAGGGGCAGCAAGTGTAAGAAAACATGCCCAATATATCCACCCATGCCGGGAATGAACCACAGACACTCCATAAGCAAGCCGAGTGCACTACCAACCGAGTCAAACCTTTTCTTTCTTGAATCAAACCTTTGGGGTTCTACAGGGTTCAATTTTTTTTTTTTCAACAAATCGGCCGTCTCCCACCGAGGCAGGGTGACCCAAAAAAGAAAGAAAAGCCCCAAAAAGAAAATACTTTCATCATTCAACACTTTCACCACACTCACACATTATCACTGTTTTTGCAGAGGTGCTCAGAATACAACAGTTTAGAAGCATATACGTATAAAGATACACAACATATTCCTCCAAACTGCCAATATCCCAAACCCCTCCTTTAAAGTGCAGGCATTGTACTTCCCATTTCCAGGACTCAAGTCCGACTATATGAAAATAACCGGTTTCCCTGAATCCCTTCACTAAATATTACCCTGCTCACACTCCAACAGTGTTGGTACTACTATACTTTCATACATTCCCTTCTTTGCCTCCATAGATAACGTTTTTTGACTCCACATATACCTCAACACATCACTCACCTTTTTTCCCCTCATCAATTCTATGATTAACCTCATCCTTCATAAATCCATCCGCCGACACGTCAACTCCCAAGTATCTGAAAACATTCACTTCTTCCATACTCCTCCTCCCCAATTTGATATCCAATTTTTCTTTATCTAAATCATTTGATACCCTCATCACCTTACTCTTTTCTATGTTCACTTTCAACTTTCTACCTTTACACACATTCTCAAACTCATCCACTAACCTTTGCAGTTTTTCTTTAGAATCTCCCATAAGCACAGTATCATCAGCAAAAAGTAACTGTGTCAATTCCCATTTTGAATTTGATTCCCATAATTTAATCCCACCCCTCTCCCGAACACCCTAGCATTTACTGCTTTTACAACCCCATCTATAAATATATTAAACAACCATGGTGACATTACACATCCCTTTATAATTTTAATATACTCATCACATGGTTATTTAACCTCGTGAACATTTAGATTTCAGGACATATACAAAAACGAAGATAAAGTTTTTGAAACTATTTGCACACTAGAAAACAGATGGCAAGCTTTAAAACTTGTAATGGAATTGGAAGCAATGTGCCAATATCCTAGGCTATGGAATGATTTTTTTTTTTTTCTATTATTTAAGGGGTGAAAAAGTTCAAGTAAGCCAGATGCTTAACCAGCTGCAGGTCATTTGACATAGGCCCATGTGAGGAAATGCGTGTTAATTTTCCTGATGAATGAACCCCTACCACCTTTGACACCATGACTTTTTCTACACAGTTTCTCAGTAAAGTTGGGTCACCCAGGAAACATTCATCACACTTTCTCTGTCTTTCCTGAAGTGCATGGACATCACAATTCAAATGACCCACCAAACTACAACATACCCATTAAACCTAATGTACTGCCCACCTCCTGAACTCAAGTTCAAATATACCCCCTGAATGCTCAAGTTCTCACTTCTTTCAACTTTCACACCCTCCTTTTATTCCCTCCTGGGATGTCCCCTGAACCACCTTGCAACCTTAGATATATAACCATCTCAACTTCATCTCCATTTTGAATTATATATGTACTGAAAAACCACCTAACCATTTTCTAATTTCTTCTTACTATATTCACACATGTTAAATCTCTTCCTCACTTCAGCATTCAAAGACCATGCCTTACACCCTGCAGGTGTTGGCACCAATATGTTCAGATACATTTATTGATAAATATCCTTTCCACAAAAAACACCAGCAGTATTTTTCTTAGACCAATCTGCTGTTATGTTCACTCCAAAAATACTGAAGTTTAATCTCTTACTGTCTAGACTTCATAACTCTCATCACTTTGCTCTTTTCCATATTAATTTTCAACTCCCTTCTTTTACATACTCTTTAGCAACCTTTGAATATTTTTTCCAAATCTCCCTAAAACTACATAAGCAAGTAGCAACTGCAATCAATCCCACTATTTCACATTTATTAACTTCTAAGCATACTTCCTAATACTAGCATTCACCTATACCATCTAATTTATAAATACATCAAACAAGCACAGCAACATCACAGATCCCCAAACAAGAACCCTTATATAGTGAAAAACACTCCTCGCATAACTTTACTTGAGCCCCTTTCCTACAGAAACAAAAAACTGCAGCTTTTTATAACCTATAACTTACTATACAAATTTGCAGCACATGCCACATAGTACCATCACATGCTTTTTACAAATACATGAAGGAAACACTGTAGGTTCTTACCCTTATCTTAGTATTTCTCAATGGTTCCACACACCCACCTTTCGATCATAAAGCTTGGTTCTACTGTAATCTCATCTTGTGTCTTTCTCCTAACTCCTTCAACAGTTATAGCCAATACACTCAATAGCTTATATTTCCTTATAATTCTTATATTCCTGTCCTCACTTCCTCTATAATGTCCATTTTGTAATGTACTTATTCCTATACGTATTTTTTTTATTACATATGTATTAACACATCAGCCATCTCCCACCAAGGCAGGGTGACCCGAAAAAGAAAAACTTTCATTATCATCATTCACTCCATCAGTCTTGCCAGAGGCATGCTTTCACTACAGTTATAAAACTGCAACATTAACACCCCTCCTTCAGAGTGCAGGTACTGTACTTCCCATCTCCAGGACTCATGTCCAGCCTGCCGGTTTCCCTGAATGCCTACATTAATGTTACCTTGCTCACACTCCAACAGCATGTCAAGTCCTAAAAACCATTTGTCTACATTTGCTCCTATCTAACATGCTTACGCATGCTTGCTGGAAGTCCAAGCCCCTCGCACACAAAACCTCCTGTATCCCCTCCCTCCAACATGACCCCTATCCCGCCTTCCATCTACTACAGATTTATACACTTTCGAAGTCGTTCTATTTTGTTCCATCCTCTCTACATATCTGAACCACCTCAACAACCCCTCCTCACCCCTCTGGATAATAGTTTTGGTAATCCTGCACCTCCTCCTGATTTCCAAACTACGAATTCGCTGCATTATATTCACACCACACATTGCTCTCAGACATGACATCTCCACTGCCTCCAGCCTTCTCCTTGCTGCAACATTCACCACCCATGTTTCACACCCATACGAGTGTTGGTATAACTAAACTCTTATACATTCCCCTCTTTGCATCCATGGACAAAGTTCTTTGTCTCCACAGACTCTTAAGTGCACCACTCACCTTCTTCCCCTCATCAATTCTATGATTCACCTCATCTTTCACAGACCCATCTGCTGACACGTCCACTCCTAAATATCTGAATACAATCACCTCCTCCATACTCTCTCCTTCCAATCTGATATCCAGTCTTTCATTACCTAATTTTTTTATCCTTACCATCTTACTCTTTCCTATATTCACTTTTATTTTCTTCTTTTACATACCCTACCAGACTCATCCACCAAAATTTGCAACTTCTCTTCGGAATCTCCCAAAAGCAGTGTCATCAGCAAAGAGCAACTGTGACAACTCCCACTTTGTGTTAGATTCTTTATCTTTTAACCCCACACCTCTTGCCAACACCCGAGTATTCACTTCTATTACAACCCCCATTATAAATATATTGAACCATGCTGACATCACACATCCTTATCTTAGGCCTACTTTTACTAGGAAATAATCTCCTTCTCTCCTACATACTCTAACCTGAGACTCACTATCCTCGTGAAACTCTTCAAAGCTTTCAGTAACCTACCTCCTGTTCCATACATCTGCCACATTGCCCCCTTATCCACCCTGTCATATGCCTTTTCCAAATCCATAAATGCCACGAAAACCTCTTTACCCTTATCTAAATACTGTTCACCTATATGTTTCACTGTAAGCACTTGGTCTACACACCCCCTCTCCTCCCTAAAGCCTCCTTGTTCATCTGCTATCCTACTCTCCATCTTCCTCTTAATTCTTTCAATAACAACTCTACCATACACTTTACCTTATTTTCCTTATTTTCAACAAAATTTGTTGAAGTCATATGTATTGATGACTTCTAAATATACTCACTGATCTCATTGAGAACTTCCTTGGGAAGCCAGTCATAATCCACATCATCTCTCTTGGTGGTTCCCATCTCCACAACAACCTTCTTGCCTCCTTTCCTGTGACCGAATGAGGAGAGAAAGTGATGCCCTGCCACAAGAAGCAGTACACTAAATGCTAGCATAAATACATACAGGAAGAAAGTTTCTCCATCCATTCCCTCATCAAGCTCAACAATGCTGACTGTCTGATTGAAGACTGCTTCCAAGAATGCATTGCCATCCTGGAGAAGGAATAAAAATTTTATGCCATTCACCAAAACACTAACCATAAATACATGCATCAGAATCAGATATTAATTTATAAGAATTACACTATGTTGAATTAATTATCAGAGATGGTATTTTATGTAAAGTTAATATTTACCAGAGATTGGGCAAGTCATAGATTAATTATTTAAGAGAGAAACATTCAGTATAATAAAATTTGTTGGCACTATCATAAATAGGGCTGATATTTAGATTTGCTTGACAACCAGAGTTTGAAAAAAAATCGTTTTACTCCATGTTTCTTCTCGCCTTCATTTACAAATTTCTATACAACTTTAGAAACAACCACTTAAGTCCTACCATATACGTACAGTGGAACCTCGTTTTTCGGCCGGTTTTTCAGCAGAAATATTGTTCTGTATTAGATCTGTTATTTCGCCTCTCCTGCATGGACGCTGGGCTTTGGTGAGTCAGTCTCCCTTTGTCTGTCGGCAAGTGGGCATATATTCCGTGCATTCATGCAAACATTTCTTTAAAATCCATTGCTTTTCGTAGTTGTTTATTAAATGCAACTGTGAAATAAGTCACCCTGGGCCCCAAGAAACTCCCTAGTAAAGTTCCTTTGGTAAAGAAAGTGAGAAACACGATGGAATTTACGAAGGAAGTAATAAAAATATGAGTGATGTACAGGTGCTGGAACTTGCCAGGATGTATGGCAAAAACAAATCAACAATCACTTCCATCCTGGCAAAGGAAGAACAAATCGAAGAAGTTGATGCGATTCAGTGATTCAACGATATGTATAGCCAGCGATAAAGTGTAGCATTAACAGTGTAGCAAGTAAGTTAAGCGATTAAGCAACAGAAAATGGATGACACGAGAGTGACTCCTCCAATGTTGTTGGAGGTATATAGAGCCACTACAAACATATGCCGCCCTGCCTATCTTCCACCACCCTAAACCAATGCCAGCATCTCCAAGGTACAGTGTAAATATTTCTTATTTATAAAGTGTAAATATTGGCAGTTTGGAGGGATATGTTGTGTATCTTTATATGTGTATGCTTCTAGACTGTTGTATTCTGAGCACCTCTGCAAAAACAGTGATAATGTGCGAGTGTGGTGAAAGTGTTGAATGATGATGAAAGTATTTTCTTTTTGGGGATTTTCTTTCTTTTTTGGGTCACCCTGCCTCGGTGGGAGACGGCCGACTTGTTGAAAAAAAAAAAAAAATTTCTTATTTATAAATTATGTACATTCATTGTGTGAATAGTGTTGGCGGCTCCTGCTGCTGCCTCCATTATCACTAATATGTACGGCTTCTCTCAGTGGCCCTTATAAACCCAACCTCACCACCATACGTAATGACATATTTTATTCATTCTAGAGTATACGTATATTATGTTTCTGTATTATTAATATTGTGTATTATGTCATATTAGATCAATTGTGATAGATAAATAAGCTGTAGAATTGATATTAGCATCATATTGAAAGAGTATCTTGTACTGTCTCCAAACTCTCCTCCTCCCTGTCTTCCATAAGCCAACAAGAGTCTTCAATAAAGGTACATAATAGTGATTTAAATGTTCTTAATATATTTTATTTAGTTCTCATTATTTCATGTATGTAAAACTATAATTAACCCTTAAACTGTCCAAACGTAGATCTACGTTTTTTCAACATTTCAATGTAAAAAAACGTAGATTTTTTTTTTACATTTGAAAACATGTAAAAAACTGCGATTACTTTTTTTTTTGTTATACTTGAAAATGTAAAAAAACGTAGATCTACTTTTGGAGCACTACGCATGTGAACGTAGATCTGTTTGGACAGTTTAAGGGTTAATCTTTAAAAAATGTAATTTTTGTGAATATTTTTGGGTGTCTAGAATGGATTAATTGTATTTACATTAATTCTTATGGGAAATATTGCTTCAAATTTAGGCAGTTTCGAATTTAGGCCGACCTTCTGGAACAGATTACGGCTGAAAAACAAGGTTCCACTGTACACTGAATGGGAGGGACACCATGAAAACTTTTAATATCAATTCCTTATCTAACCCTTTCAGTGGCCATTATGTGGAACTACATCATTTGGGTCAGAGACCCTCACAGAGTTCTGTATCACAAGTTCAGCTTGGTCAGATAAACTGTGAGTGGTAAATTTTAACCTAGATATGAGAGAATGTCCTAGTGTGCAGTATAAAAAAAATTCTATTCCACAGGGTGCATGGAAGAGCAAAACTGACCATGTTCATTTATAACAGTACAAAATATACTCAACCCCTGCCAATTTGGATTTAAGAAAAATAAAAGCACTAATGATGCAATCATAAAAATGCTAGATCTGCTTTACACAGCATTGGAAAATAAGGAATATCCACTAGGAATTTTTATTGACCTAAGAAAAGCTTTTGACACAGTAGACCACGACATCCTACTCCACAAACTTGACCATTACGGTATAAGAGGCCATGCGCTTGCTTATTTCAAATCTTACCTTACTAATAGGTATCAGTATGTTACCATTAAAGACACAGCATCAACAACACGGCCACTTGATACTGGAGTTCCGCAGGGAAGTGTCCTTGGTCCCCTGCTCTTCCTCATATACATCAATGATCTTCCAAACGTATCCCAACACCTGAAACCCATTCTCTTTGCTGACGACACGACTTATGTCATCTCTCACCCTAATCTTGCCACCCTCAACACCATTGTTAACGAGGAGCTGATCAAAATATCGACTTGGATGACAGCCAATAAACTTACGCTTAACACTGACAAAACCTACTATATTATGTTTGGTAGCAGAGCAGGAGATGCACAAATTAACATTAAGATCGACAACACTCTAATTACCAGACATAATGAGGGCAAATTCCTAGGCCTATACCTTGACAACAACCTGAATTTCAGCACCCATATCCAACACATAACCAAAAAAGTATCCAAAGCAGTTGGGATCCTCTCCAAGATACGATACTACGTGCCGCAAAATGCCCTTCTCACACTATACCACTCACTTATTTATCCATACCTCACCTATGCTATTTGTGCTTGGGGATCAACTGCAGCAACACACCTAAAGCCAATAATAACCCAACAAAAAGCTGCAGTAAGAATAATCACTAAATCCCATCCCTGGCAACACACCCCCCACTCTTTATAGATCTAAATTTACTCCCTGTTCAGTACATCCACACTTACTACTGTGCAATCTACATCTACAGGACCTTAAACTCCAATATCAACCTTGACCTAAAACGCTTTCTTGATAGTTGTGACAGAACCCACAGGCATAACACCAGACAAACATCTCTACGACATTTCCCATGTCCGACTAAACCTTTACAAAAATTCAATGTATGTCAAAGGCCCTAAAATCTGGAACACCCTACCTGAGAACTCTAGAACTGCAGACACATTCATCACCTTCAAAACTACCATTAGAAAACATCTTATCTCCCTGATAAACCCCATCAACTAACTACACGAATACCACCTGGTAGTTCACACTTACACTCACTCACTCACCCATTTGACCATAAACAGAAATATTAATCTCAATCTTAAAATAATGAATCCTATGATACTCCAATACTGAAACTATATACTGTGCCAAAACAAAAGCATTCACATTGCTAAACTCACAAACTAGTATTTAGTCACTTAGCCATAATACCAACTTGCCTCATAATTTGTAATATTTTAAAATAAAGAATTAAACTAAGTCTGCCTGAAATGCCTAGCCATGCTAGGCGTTCTAGTGGTACACTTTGTAATCATTATTTAACTATATGTAAACCACACAACAACCAAATTCTGTAAATTCAACATTGTAATCTTTATAGAGAATAAACTTTGAATTTGAATTTGAATGTGTTTGGTTTAAAACAGCAACTTTGAATTTTCTAGGTTTTAATGGTTTTTATTGGCTGTTTCTTGATATCGTTTAAGAGAATGGAAGAGACTAGAGAATTCTGGTTGGTTTCAGGACCAGGAGTAGCTTGAAATTGTGCTCAAAGATGAAATATTCAATTTTTGTCAACTTTCCAAAGGATGGGTAAAGCCCCCTACACCCCTCTGGTCTGTTTTATGGATCTTGCATTTTCTTTACAAGATCTGCATGCAATTGCCTTGCATTTTCGCAAATTATTGCCTCCAAAACATTATCTCCCGCTAACTGTTTTTCGTTGATCTACACCAACAACTTCCCAACATCTTTAATTGTCTGCGATCTCTGTTTCGTTAGCACATTTACCTCTTTCGCAACATAAGCTTCCTTGATTTCTTTTTTCTTTGCCAGGATGGAACCGATCATTGATGTGGACTTCCTGTACATCCTGGCAAGATCAGCCATGCGTATGCCACTTTCGTACTTTGCTACAAGTTCTTTCTTGAATTCTATCATGTTTCTCACCTTCTTTATCAAAGGGCTGGCACTCGGAACTTTCCTTGGCCCCATGGTGGCTTATTTAGCAGTCACACTCAATAAATAAGCACAAAAAACAATGGATTATTACGAAATGTTTCAGATGAATACTCAGGGTAATGCTCACTCAATGAGAAACAAAGGCAGACTGAGTCACAAACGCATTGGAGGCTTTGTGTGGGCGAGTCACACGGGCAGGTAGACGAGTTTGATACGGACAATTTTCAACTGTATGAAAACCTAGCGGATGTACGAAGACTGGGACAAAATTTTGATGAAAAAAGTCGTCAAAAACCAAATCCTAAGAAAACTAGGGCATATAAAAACTGAAGTTTGACTGTATCTAAGAATTCTGTCAAACTGTGCAATGGAACTTACTTAAATAAGACTCAAAATGGGCAAAATTGCCAATGCATAAATTGTGCCCAGACTACTTACTTTGTACCTGCATTACCTTCAGAGAAAGATTCTCTACCACTTCAGAAAAATAATTTAGTTTCCTTTTTTTTTTAAAAAAAGTGGACACTGAGAGCAATATTAATTTTGGGGGTATGGACAGTGAAAGGGTTGAAAAGAAATAATTTTTGACCAAAATGTTGATTAATCTAACAGTAACAAAATGCAATCTAGAATGAATAGGGAAACTCAAGCCAAAATGAGTAGGCATAAAATTATTTTAAAGTCTAAATTTATTTTGGCATTAAATAAAATTAACATTCACTTTAGACATTCTGGACTGCACAGCAAAAATGAGCCAAGACTCCAATGATAACTAGCAAGTTATATAAATTTAAGGTATGATATTATTATAGTAAATGTTCAAAAGAATTAGTTCACTTACAGCATCATGATAGGCAAGGTTGACTGTTAGTCCCAAAGGTCGAGCAGCAAATGCCTCAGCAGGGTAGAATGAATACATGACGGTGGCCTCCTGACGTGGCTTGACAGCACGGTTATAAGGGATAGCAGTGAAATTCTGAATGTAGAAGTTGAAATCCATAGGATAACGGAAGGAAGCATCAATAGCATCCAAAATAAAATCTTTGTCACCATTGTTTGTAAAACCAACAAGAAACTCAACAAGTTTTCCAGCAGGCAGTTCTGCAATTAAGAAAAATTGCATTGAAAATTGCAAAAACAATTAGTAAACAAGTGTTACTAAGAACAGTTTAACATTTTACTGTATACTGACAAAGCTTTATATTAACACTGAAGTACAGCATTACCATAATAATTGTTACCTTATTGTCAAAGCTAAATTCTTAAACCTTGCCCTTTCTCCCCAGTTCAAATAAAGCAATCTACATCTATTGCTAGACATTACTAAGCAAGTAGTGAGCAAATTACATAAAATTTTACATTAGTTGCAATGTCTCTAACCTGTTCCTGAACCAACAGGTTTAGTAAAAAGGATAACAGTGTCTGCATCAGGTGACCCTTTTGCTGTTGCTTCCTCCTCCTCCTCTTCCTCCTCTTCTCCTCCTTCAGCCGTATCTATTTCAGCACCTGTGCCATCATCGACATTGACTTCGTCATCACTAAGATCATCTTCCTCTCCTTCCACCTCATCCTCCTGTGCCCAAGCTGTCATTTTCCCTGTAATAATATAATGAAAAATAAGAAAACAAAACAAAAAAACATACATAGCATCAGCAATTACCAATGATACTCAAACAACGACCCTATACGTCCAAGGAAGGGATGGGTTACTGTGCACCTGAGGTGGGTGGAGGCAAGAAGATAAATGCTGCCTGCCTTCGTGTAATGACCAGACTTTTGCTTCTGTGCAGGAGAGTAAAGTACGCCAACAGACTTTGGTATATAAACAGTGTTTTCCTTCAGAGTTCCTTCAATTTTCCTGAGTAGTCACAAATTGTAGCTAAAGCCTTTCACAGGTGATGTATAATGCTTATTGGTTTAACACTTCCCATAAATGTAATTGATTCCCCATTACACTATAGATCTATAATGGTGATAAATTTTGAAGATTCAACCTAAGAAAAGAAAGCCAAAACATTGTTTTTATTGGGGGGGGGGGGTCCCAATGTGGTGACCAAGTACTTATATTAAAAATATAAAATTAACAAGTTTTATGTAAGCTTTGCATACATAACAAGAAATATATGGTTAAAATTAAGGTGAGGTCCATATATGTTTTAATATTAAGTTGAGGTCCTTCTTACAACTATTGACTTTTTGGGGCAAAATCGAGAGGAAAAAAAATTGGGGGGGGGGGGAGAATTTGCACAAAATGCAACTATCCACATTACTAAAGCTATAGGTGTCCTGTAGCTTGATTGCTAGTGCACTCAGCTCACACTGAGGTCCGTGGTTTGATCCCCCGTATGGGTGGAAATATCAGGACGTGTTTCCTTAGGACAACTGCTGTCCCTGTTCACCTATTAGTAAAATAGGTACCTGGATGTTAGTTTACTGGTGTGGGTTGCATCCTGGGGACAAAATTAACCTAATTTGACTGAAATGCAATGCATAATAAGGGGTTTCTATACAGTAGTGTCACTGATGTCAGCTGGGCCTGTATATCCTGTACATGTACTTGTAGAAATAGAGACTACTATTACTATTTAATAGTGAAAATTATAAATTATCTCTAAAATACAAAGACAGTTCGAAAATTTATAATAATCATCAGGGTACACAAGGGAACAAAGTGCACTCAGTAGATTTAACTTATAACCCAATAGTCAAACAATGTAAATAATATTATTTAGGCATAGGTACGCATAAGTACCATTATTATACACAGTGTAAATTACCTAAGGTAACATATTGCCATTGAAGTGGGGATAAGTAAATCTCTTACCCTACACAGTGTTCATAGGTAGAAACACTGGGCATGATTCCTTACACCTGCTGTCCCTGTCCACCTAGCAGTAGTAGCTATCTGAGTGTCAGCCGACTGGTGTGGGTCGCATCCTGGGGGACAAGACTGAAAGACCCCAATGGAAATATAAGTTTCCAATGACTTTCTTGGGGTATTCTGGATGCCTAACCCTCCCCCTGGTTAAATATCCCAACAAATCATATTTTAATATTACCTCCGCTTGTCGTGATGATGAGAGGCAAGACCAACAATAACAATAACAGGAGCTTTTTCATTCCTGGGAACATGATGATGATATATCAGCGTCACTTTCCACCAGCTTGACTGGTGTGTGTGAGTGGTGTAGTAACTGTGGAGTGGTACAACAGCCTCACTTTCCACCAGCTTGACTGGTGTGTGTGAGGATCCAGAGAACTCTGCCTACACACCCGCTGCCACTCATCATTATCTCTATATTTTCGCTGACTTTATAAAGCGTCGGCTGTTAATAAAACTAGACTCATCTCGTTTTTATTGTGTTTAGCTAATGTTCATTACGGTATTGATTTACAATAATGAGTAAAATTCACTATTTTTAATATTTAGGATAGATAATAAAGTTGTCATTTAACGTTATATAGTAGTGACGTGCCGGCACCTGGAACACAGGAACATGGAATGAACCGTCCGTGGAGCCAAGGCAGCCAACCTTACTCCTTTCATCTATTAAATTACAAAATAATTACAACTTTCCACTAACAATATAATTTCACAAAACCATGATATAATTTGTATCTTTTAAACAGTGTAAATAACGTTACTTTTAAATTAGAGGGCTATATTTATATTATAAATATTGTATAATATAATGTTGGTCAAAATGTTGGCGTGTTGACGTTTCACATTCCTTGTGTACACATGGCTGTCTCACCCAGGAACGGACTGATGTGTTGAAGAGGCGGCACTCAGAAGAGCTTCACCTGGCACAGGTTGCCGCTGGACACTTCAACCAGTGTGTCTTTATGCCAGTGAAGTTCTCTTGATCCATGGCATCTTGGCTACACTCCCCTTCCTTGGATCAAACTTAATTACCTCCTATTCATAAGGCGCTGTATAGCTCATACAGGCTTAGCGCTTCACCACAAATATATTCCTACCTGCTCGACCCTTCAAGGAGTCTCGATGCCAGTGAAGGGCACTAGATCCAAGGCATTGGACCTATCCTTCCTGTCCTTAGATCAAACCTGCTTGCATTTCATTCCCCAGGCGCTGTATGACCCGTAGGGATTTAGTATTCATCCCATGAATGTAAAAATAACCGCATAATGCGGTTTTCCTAATTTATTTTAATAAAGATTTGGATAAAAACGTGTACAGAATTTGGGATATCTTATTAAGAAATGTAAATGTTAATTTTTACTATACATTTTTTTTAATATTGATTAGTTCTTGGGTCAACCTGTCCCGCGGGATGGTTACAAGTGATACTCCATAAGTAAGTTTAGTACAAACACGTATCATACATAGTAATGTGTAAATTACCCATCATGATAGTAAAAAAAAATCAGACAAATTGACTCCATTGTGGTCCTTGTTTACCTGGAGAGAGTTCCGGGGGTCAACGCCCCCGCGGCCCGGTCTGTGACCAGGCCTCCTGGTGGATCAGAGCGTGATCAACCAGGCTGTTGCTGCTGGCTGCACGCAAACCAACGTACGAGCCGCAGCCCGGCTGGTCAGGAACCGACTTTAGGTGCTTGTCCAGTGCCAGCTTGAAGACTGCCAGGGGTCTGTTGGTAATCCCCCTTATGTATGCTGGGAGGCAGTTGAACAGTCTCGGGCCCCTGACACTTATTGTATGGTCTCTTAACGTGCTAGTGACACCTCTGTTTTTCATTGGGGGGATGTTGCATCGTCTGCCAAGTCTTTTGCTTTCGTAGTGAGTGATTTTCGTGTGCAAGTTCGGTACTAGTCCCTCTAGGATTTTCCAGGTGTATATAATCATGTATCTCTCCCGCCTGCGTTCCAGGGAATACAGATTCAGGAACCTCAAGCGCTCCCAGTAATTGAGGTGTTTTATCTCCGTTATGCGCGCCGTGAAGGTTCTCTGTACATTTTCTAGGTCAGCAATTTCACCTGCCTTGAAAGGTGCTGTTAGTGTGCAGCAATATTCCAGCCTAGATAGAACAAGTGACCTGAAGAGTGTCATCATGGGCTTGGCCTCCCTAGTTTTGAAGGTTCTCATTATCCATCCTGTCATTTTTCTAGCAGATGCGATTGATACAATGTTATGGTCCTTGAAGGTGAGATCCTCCGACATGATCACTCCCAGGTCTTTGACGTTGGTGTTTCGCTCTATTTTGTGGCCAGAATTTGTTTTGTATGTACTCTGATAAAGATTTAATTTCCTCGTGTTTACCATATCTGAGTAATTGAAATTTCTCATCGTTGAACTTCATATTGTTTTCTGCAGCCCACTGAAAAATTTGGTTGATGTCCGCCTGGAGCCTTGCAGTGTCTGCAATGGAAGACACTGTCATGCAGATTCGGGTGTCATCTGCAAAGGAAGACACGGTGCTGTGTGATATCTTTTTAATTTAAAGCCTAGCTTAATTAAAATGCAGTAGAATTCAGTCATGATTATAACCTCACAAATTACAATAAAAAGAAGCACAATAGGAATAAAGTGAATAGTTATTTACATGAGCATTAAATAGAAAGGATAAGATATTGGGGGGGGGACTCTATAATGATAGCACATTAACCATACTTTTGTGCCTTTACCTGAAATTAGCAGAGCACTGTCATCTGTATGCAAATGAAACTTACACTTAACAATGATGGGCATGTCATTCACATAACAAAAAATAGTAAGGAACCCAGAATACTACCTTGGGAAACCCCCACATGCTATCAGTAAGGGTTCTGATCTTGTATCATTGATATTGACAGTTTGGTTCCTGTTGCTCATATAGGACTTAAACCAGTTTACAGAGCCTATGCCGATAGCTTCTAGTTTCATAACTAATATGTTATGGTTAACTGTATTGAATGCAAGTCTAAGGTCACCATGGACTTGTGAGATTCCCTAACGACATTTGAGTTCACAGGTAGTCCATCAGATTAATTATGCAGGTACGGTCGAGTAAGATCTGATACCTGTTTGGTAACTATGGAGAATGCTTTTTGTCATTAAAATACTTAACTACTTGACTGTGCACCGCTTTCTCTAGAATTTTGGAAACCGCAGTGAGTATACTAACAGGCCTATAGTTGCTGACGTCAGATCTCTTTTTCTTGAAGATAGGAGTTAGTTTAATATGTTTATTATGCACCCCATACCCATCCTGTGGGTGGTAGTCAAAAGATTACAGTCGTGCATAATAGGTCCAGGGACTGGGCCCCAAAGTTTTGATAGCTGAACAAGTTACAAAGGTAATGGGCTCCAGGTAGATCTGGTCACAATCATGACCAAGTTACAAATGTAATGAATCATCTACACCTGCACACGAAAATCACTCCCTATGAAAGCAAAAGACTCGGCAGGAGATGCAACATTCCTCCGAGACAACACAGTAAGTATCCGGAGCCCAAGATTGTTCAGCTTCCTCCCAGCATACATAAGGGGGATTACCAATAGACCCCTGGCTCTCTTCAAGAAGGCGCTGGACAGGCACCTAAACTCAGTACCTGACCAACCGGGCTGTGCTTCGTACGTCAGTTTGCGTGCGGCCGGCAGTAACAGCCTGGTTGATCAGATCCTGTTCCACCATGAGGTCTGGTCTCAGACCGAGCCGCGGGGGCGTTGACCCCCGAAACCCTCTCCAGGTAAACACGTCTATACATGGTTACAATCATGAACAAATTACAAAGTAATGAGCCATTCACACATCCACATCCGGTCACAACTGTAATGAGTTATTAGTGTAAATATTAATTGGGTTACGCAAGCGCGCGCGCGCACACACACACACACACACACACACACACACACACACACACACACACACACACACACACACACACACACACACACACACACACACACACACGATAAAGCTCACGGTTCAGGGAGTGACCTAGTAGCGACCAGTTAAGAAACGGGGCCAGGAGCTCGGACTCGACCCCTGCAACCTCAACTAGGTGAGTACAACTAGGTGAGTACAACTAGGTGAGTACAACTAGGTGAGTACAACTAGGTGAGTACAGACGCACACACACACACACATACCTGGTTACCTGGAGGTTATTCCGGGGATCAACGCCCCCGCGGCCCGGTCCATGACCAGGCCTCCCGATGGATCAGGGCCTGATCAACTAGGCTGTTACTGCTGGCCGCACGCAGTCCAACGTACGAGCCACAGCCCGGCTGATCCGGCACTGACTTTAGGTATCTGTCCAGCTCTCTCTTGAAGGCAGCCAGGGGTGTATTGGCAATTCCCCTAATGCTTGATGGGAGGCTGTTGAACAGTTTTGGGCCCCGGACACTTATGGTGTTTTCTCTTAGTGTACCAATGGCGCCCCTACTTTTTATTGGGGGCATTTTGCATCGCCTGCCCAGTCTTTTACTTTCGTAGGGAGTGATTTCTGTGTGCAGATTTGGGACCATTCCTTCCAAGATTTTCCAAGTGTAGATTATGATATATCTCTCCCTCCTGCGTTCCAACGAGTACAAGTCAAGTGCTTCCAAGCGTTCCCAGTAGTTAAGGTGCTTGACAGAACTTATACGTGCAGTAAAGGATCTCTGTACACTCTCTAGATCTGCGATTTCACCTGCTTTGAATGGAGATGTTAATGTACAGCAGTATTCCAGCCTAGAGAGAACAAGTGATTTGAAAAGGATCATCATGGGCTTGGCATCTCTCGTTTTGAAAGTTTCATTATCCATCCTATCATTTTCTTTGCACGTGCGATCGTGGCACTGTTGTGATCCTTGAAAGTGAGATCCTCAGACATTACTACTCCCAGGTCCCTTACATTATTTTTCCGCTCTATTGTATGGCCGGAGTCAGTAGTATACTCTGTTCTAGTTATTATCTCCTCCAGTTTTCCATAACGGAGTAGTTGGAATTTGTCCTCATTGAACATCATATTGTTTACCGTTGCCCACTGGAAAACAGTAGAGCCTTTTACACACTCGCACAGAGGCCAAGTGTCTTAGTGACAAGTGCCCTGGACAAAATGGTAACTAACACACTAGCGCGTGCACATACACACACACACTAGCGTGTGCACATACTAGCGCGTGCACATTTATTTATTTATTTATTTATTTATTTAAAAATTTGAGCACACATACAGAGGTACAACAAATACAGGTAAGAGCAGTATGCCAAAGCCACTTATACTATGCATAGCATTACGGGCTGGCTTAAAATTAACTTAAGATTAACTAAGCAATGATGAAATCAGTGATAAAACATTAATGTAAACAGGTTACTATAAAGCACAAGTGAGTATTACAA